CGTCAAAGAGACAAGTGAAGTCAATCCCTCGACAACCGTTCTGCTGGAAACGGTTACACTATCACTTCTCATTCTGTCCTGGCCTATCTATCTACTCTTTACCCTCTTATCCCACTGCCGTCCTATCACAACTTCTTATTTGTTTACATTCCAATCATTCAAATGTATGCGATGACAACACAAGGAAGCGGAAGATTAGGGAGGCCATTGACATCCTTGGAGATGCAAATCTAATGAACAGGAGATTGGAGGAAGGTAGAGTTAGCGATAACTTTGCCTACTGTCTAAGCAAAATAGGAGAAAACAATAGAGCAAGACCACCAAAAAGGATACGCTTGGAGCAGGGATCTGCCGCTAACCGGAGGAAAAGGTTTGTGATGACGAAAGTAAGGGACACGGGTATTCGACAATTAAGTGAAAATGTTGTCAGTGGGTGATTGTCATTTGAATAAACCAGTACAACTTTGGGGGCCTGGCAGTTAGGGAGTGGGGCAGACGGATAAGCACACCGTCATAGAAATTAGGGGTTCTGGACAAAATGCACTAGAAATCTACTTGAGATGCCACATACTACTAGAGATAGCGTCCACATTTTGCTGAGATAATCGTTGTTTAATCAAGGAGACGACCAGTGTAGGGAAGGCCTAATATCTGCAAGCATCGAATTCAGAGCTTAACCGCTCCGCTCAGTTTATGTGCTTCTAGGGCCTTGAGAAAAAGCGCCATGAGTGAAATACATGCAGTGACTGGACCTGAGTGAAATCGGTCAACCACAAAGACAATGAAAGGATCCGGATTGGAGGCCCGTGTGGGATAAGCCCATCGAAAGAGAGGGGTCGGGGTAACTAGCAAGTGTGATGAAGCCACACTCGGTTTGCCACAAAATGGCACATATTTGGATGATTGGAATGTAAACAAGTGAGGAGTTGTGATAGGGTGGTAGTGGGATAAGATGGTAAAGAGTACATAGCTAGGTCAGGACAGGAGGAGTGATAGTGTAACCGTTTCCAACAAAACGGTTGTCGAGGCATTGACTTAACTTGTCTCTTTGACGAGTTCGTATCTTGGTGCGGAGAATGGCAACGCTTACTGATGATGCCAACTACGATGCCGGCAAAACGTTTAAGAATATATCAAGTCTACTGTCAGATGCTGAGAATTAAGACTACTATGTCAGACGATTTCGGACTAGGTGCGTTCTACATAGTCTCCCTGAACACAATACCAAGTTGCGACAACGAAGTCAATCCACTTCTATAAATCGAAAGGAGACTGCGACTATACCAGAGGCCACAACATCTTGGTCTTTATATCTACTCTAGGAAAGATTAAAGTACACTATTGTTTGAGTTTTCAATATCCTATTAGTATGGTAAAACTAGGTTGAGACAAGGCGAAGCCTCCTTTGTTTTCTGTTCACATCGATCTTACAATTGACTTTACTAGCCTTATGCATGTAAAGCAAGTCAGCACATAATAATCTATACGCAAATTTTTATACCTCTAAATTCTTAAACATTTTAAAATCTCTATCATACTCTTGTATAAACTCTCATCGAATGTTTTAAAACTCTTTTACTTTTTTATTCTCTATTTCGTGATTTAATTATTGTGTCAGGCCGACGTTTTTACAA